AAGAGTTTAGATTGATCCATATCCGATCCATCGAGATGAAGCCATGTGCTTTGATATTCTCCACACGTCTAAGTAAGTCGGTAAACACAATGAGAACAAAACATAGTTTTTCTTTGTGTTTTGGAATTTTATCATCCTTAATAGAAGGATGATGTTTAAAAATCCTTAATCAAAAGCAAGATTAATTCAATGCTGATTAGAGGGATAACAAGAGACTATGGGATAACTTTTCGGTTTAAAAATAAATAATACATGTTTCCTATAAACTGAAGAAAAACAAAAGTTTGCGGAAGATAAAAAGTTGCCTTAAACCCTGAATCCAAAAATTAGATCGATGGGCCTAAGAAATTATCGAAAAGTATAATATGGACGAAAGAAATTTTGGGCAATCTTCCATAATAAAATGGAGATCTTTACTCGGACCATCAGAATGAGGATGTTCTAGCATGGGCTGCATGGTCCACTAAGATTTCCTTCATTTATTTTCATTGTGTTTTTTTATATACATAAATACCTCGAAATACCATTACTAAAACAATATTACTTTTGAAAAGTTTCAAAAGTACCATTGTTATTATTTTTTCACACCAAAAGAAAGAAAACAAAAAAGAGAGAGAAATTAAAGAAAAGGTTTAGACAAGTTAATCTTCTTTTAAGGCTTTGAAAGTTTAAAATTGATGCACACGCACTAAATCAAACACACAAAAGATATGCTAAAGCAACCCACAGCTTTGGGTTCTCTTGTCCCTTCCCTTCCTCCTAAACTTCTATTTAGTATTCACATTTGATTATTAATTAATAACATTGTATTTTTAGGGTTATATAATAATGATTTGTGATACTAGCTATTATTATCATCATTTGGCCTTGCTTTGATATTTTAATTCACACAAGTGTCCCTTAATTCTTGTAAGAGACATACAGTACTGGAGAACCCTTTTCTTTTACATCTATATTATTTATTTTAAAATCTTCGATTTTACTGCATACATGCATTAGATAAAGCCATAAAGGTGGAGGTCTAAAATTAGCGACGTGTAGGAGGTTAGACCCCTTCTTTCCCTTGCAATTTGAATTAATAATCCATTAGGTAAATCATTCACATTATAAAACAAAACCTACGCAACTATAAATATGAATGTAAAACACTAACGAAAAGAAAATGTGGATGTAAGTTTTTGCAAAACTTACAAATGATGTTTGATTAAACAAACTAAATACTGGGTTGTTTAAAATTTGGAATATAACATTTTTACATGTTGATTAGTTTCTTTTTAAGTTTAAAAAAAACATTTTTACATGTAAAACACATATTTGTGGTTGAACAATTAAATTTTTAATTTTAACCATATAAAGAACTAAGGGAGCCTAAGTTCTCTTTCAAGTATTTGCATTAAAAAGTAGAAGTTTTTTTTTGTTAAATTAAAAAGTAGAAGTTCTCGTAAATATTATAAATTTGATTTCTATGTCAAATGAATAGTGAAATATTTTCTCTATATCAAAATATAAGATGTTTTGGAGGTTTTTTTTTGTTTTAAATATAAGATGTTTTGACAATACTAAATACTTTTTAATTTTATTAAATATTGTGTGACCATTAATATTTTTACAGTATTTTGTGTGATTGGTCAATTTATTTTTATTAGATTTATTAAATGATAATTTTTAGAAAAAAATAGCTTTTTAAACTCCGCGTTTTTAGCCAAAACATCTTACATTTTGAATCGGAAGAAGTAACAAAATAGTCGAATGATACAATAGCGAAAACATTTGAGTTGTCGCAGAATAATGATAAACGCTAAAATAATATGGTTTT